GTAACGATACTGGGCACGTTTAATCAATGGTCTCGTTTAATATCCTAATTGCTATTTTAACTGCATTAAGTTATTTATTCGCGGAACAATGCCTGGTCGCTGGAATTAATATACACGCGAACTGATCGAAGTAACTTTGATTCGTTCGGGAAATATCGCAGGCATCGATTAGTTATCGCGTCAGTCGGATAATAATTTCATAAGGCGCGGACGCGTCATCGACGATGGTTATCGTTTCGAATGGAAACGTCGAAATCGTACGGTATCGATTCCCGCGAAGGAGAGTTTGCCGAACGCACACAATCCGCGGAAGAAAAACAATGGGGGAATCGTGCTCGTGTTCGTATTCGTCGACGGGACTGGAAATACCTTGTGCAAACGCGTTCGTCATCGAACCCCGCGAGTCATCGAAACTTCTCGTCGCATCATCGTCGAAGATACTACGCGAGGATCCGCGTGTACGGCAAAAATGAGAGAGAACTCGATGGCTGCCGTTTATTACGTCCCCTCCTCCCCACCCTTCGTCGCCGAGATTAATGAACGTATTAATGGACGAATTTTCCACGCTTCTCGATACCGCAAGAAACTTCCACCCGCCGTGGAATCGCGTAACTCGTTTAGATTCGCAAGAAAACTTGTCGCCGGCGAACCACTTAGGCGATGACCGAAAAGAACCATTAATCGACCGCCAGCTCGAAAAACAACGATACTCCCGGCAGCAAACAAATATTTTTACGCGGCCGGAAAACCGCTGCGTAACGTCCACGGTTCTTGCCCTCTGCTTCTCGACGGCCGAACGAGTTCGTGCGGTTTTGCTAGCGCGGGAAAATTGCAGCTCGAAAAGTTGCTCGTTGAGATAAGCAAGTTCGCGTTATTAGAGCATCTGACCTTTTCACTGATCGAGGAAACGTCACTTCGCTTGCGTTTCCTTCGAATGGGAGTAAATTAGTGTTAAATGTTGTCCACCTGGAACGTGTTTTTTAACTTGTAAGGTTTTTGTAAGGAACGATAATGCGTCTGTCAATAAACGTACGTGTTAGAATTTTATCTGACGTTTTGCGTGTTTTAACAGACCCTAATTCCTTGATTTACGATCATCGGAGGTAATTGCGTGAGCTTTTGGTTTAACGAGATTCGAGAATGAAGGAAAGATCGAGAGTTTGTTGCGTGTATTTTTATTTAAAAATGATGGAATAAGCCCCAATACTTTTCGATCGCGCAAGCTATAATAATTCAAACTCTGTGTGTAGTGTAAAGCATAATCGCTTAATTTAGATTGCAATTAGTTTAGATATTGAATATCAGGATGCTTAGAGATTGTCACCTGATCACGTGTAACTATTATCAATCTTCACTCGATGTTTTCACAAGCAACATTGTTATCTTCAACCTTCCATAAAATTAATAAGCACACGAAGATAAAGCTGAACGATATAGTACAAACACACTCCAGATGGAGGAGAAATTACAAACAGAAATAAATCTATCAAGAGAATGGATTATTGTATTTAACGCACTAAAATTCTGATTAGGCGCGGAGAACGCTTATTTTCGAGACCATTCGTGGTTTCCTCAATATGGATCGGGGAATAGTTTGATCCAGGGTATTGATATCGTGCTTCTACAAAATTCAGACGGTTCCGGGTATCTTCGTCCAGGGGTTGAAAATGGTTTCGGGCCAGAAGCGAGGAACGTTCGCGCGAAACGTAATCGACGCTAGTAATTTGGATAATGGCCGATTTCGGGGTGTTGTTCCGACGTAACGGAAGCATCTCGAACAGAAGAGTTACCGATCCTCTGTGTCCGGTGTCGCGTATCCGCGGTCAACGTATCCGATTCTGCCTAAGTGGAACGCTATTATCGGTCGACGTGCGTTCCCGCGTTATTATATTCCGGCCACGCTCGCTACGAAATAACCAGCGATTCACGGTTTATTAACGAGGCGAACGGACGGTGCATTGCACGACCCCGTGAATAATTTCATCGCGAAGACCCGAACAGAAACCAGTTTCAACCCCCGACCGACGGACGGACGATCGTTTGAACCGACGCTTCGCGCGGAAATAAGAGACTCGACGCGAGAAACGAACACCGTTTATAATTGAGTCCCGCCCTGAAACAAACGTCGACTTAATTCAGAGCGAAAACAGACCCGGGTGCAATTAATTTGAAAAAAAACACGCAAGGCGATGCAAGTGGGATAGGAAACACTGTTTTGGTTGAAATACATCGGTGGTTGCTCTGTCATTTTATTGTATGGAGTCTGATTTTAAGTATTTTATATTTATTTGCAAAAACACGGATCATTTTTAATCTGGGGCGACTAGAATTTATTTCTTTACACTTTTACACTTTTTTGGTCGAATTAAATATTCATTTACCATTAATTTATATTTTGGGGCCTTGGTAGTTGCTCTGTCATTCCATTCCTGAATCGAGTCTAATTTTAACTGTTTTTTACTGGCTTTAAAAATGGTTCCTAACTCTTTAAGGGTTTCTTCTCGCCCGAACTATTCCCGAAAACACAATATTTTTTAATTCGAAGATTCCTCGAAAGGTGAGTGGCGCCAGGCTAAGTCGGAGGCTGTTAAGAGCTTCTAAGAGGATAATGAAATAGCGAAAACGATAAAGTTACGCGATAACGATCCTCGTTAGGCCTGTTTGAGCACATGACAGCGCTCGTCCCCCGGAAAATCCGCGGCACGAGGATGACTCTGGCCTTGGATCCCCGGGAGTCGAAAAATCACGGAGATTCTCCCGATGAGACGGAGTCGCGTGGAGTCGACGGGGCAAAGACAACAACGGGGAAAAGGACAACAACGGGGTGGGAGGTGAATTATAAAGAGACGGTACGACGGTGAGAGGTTTTACAGTTGCAACCTGCACGCTTGTAGCTGCGAGATTGTGTCTCCTTGCCCGATCTCTCGTCTTATCACGCGTTTCGCGTTCTTATCGGGCCAGTGAAGTTCGGTTCTGTGATCCCCGCATCTCGTACATCGTTCGATTCTGCTATCCAGGTGATCGTACCACCGCGTTATAAGGTCAGAAAACGTTAATTATTACCACGTAAGATCGTACAAAAAATTTATATGCAATCTTGACACTGATTTTTTTTAAACGTCGACACACTATTTTAGTATCGACCTTCGACTCTCGTATCTGCACGATAGCACAGTTTAGAATTCAAATTCCAAGTTGGAACGTATGCAAATGGCATACAAATTTTCGAATATACAAAGTATTATATTACCGTTTCCACGGCGTGCAGTTGTACGATTCCTCCGCGTAACAGGTCTTAATTAGAGCGACTATCATTACCGGTAGTTGAATTTCAATCATTCGCTACGAGGAGTTCTCCTTTTTCCCCACTTTCTTTCGATCTATTACCACTCTATTCCCAACGAAACGTCAACGTACGACATTAAGACACTTTCGTCGTCTGTTCTGTTTCCCGAGCGCATTTTTAGTACTGGTCAAGTTGTAAGATTATGCACGCGAAATGGGAAACGTTGCGCAACCGAGTCTTTCCCGGAAGTTAAGCCACGCGCGTCGGAAGTAACTCGTTTTTCTTGAATATCTGCTATTAATTAATATCCTCGGTGATATATTACCATCGTTCAAAAGTATCTTCGTTTAATTTATAACTTATCATGGACGAAATTTTTTCAAACTTCATTGTTTATTTTTGCGAATTATTTTGAAAACCCGACGATATTAAAACCATCATTGTTCGAGGAATGAATGGGTTTATTCGAGGAACAATCCAAACAGCCATGTCATTGCTTTCCAAAGCTACATCAACCACTGATAATCGTTACAAAGCACACAACGCGTATTAAAAAAAAATAAAAGAACTCTCTAAATAAACAAACGGTTGGACGGTTGAAATTTCGACGCAGGCTTCTCCACGACCTCGAAAGATCGGTTCCCGCGATGACGGGGCCGTTGAGCGCCGAACAATGAAATATTACTAAATCGCGAGCGTGCGTGTTAATAATAGCCGGTTTTCCGCGCGTATTTTTTATTTCCTTCGGATATCAACGAACGGGCGGGCTCACGCACAGGGGGAAACGTCGGCCACGTTAATTAGAGGTAAATTAATTAACACGAACGGTTAGTTAGGAGCGGATTAACTCCCCCCCCCCCCTCGTCGCCGTCGTTGCTCGCTAATTAATGCCGAATATTTCTACCGATGCGATTTCAATTTGCCACGAGTTTACGTAAACCGGGATCGGGAAACGCGGCGGTATCCTTCCGCGGAAAAACGCGGCAAACCAGACTTACGAATCGAGTTTTTCCCGCGAGAAAGTCGCGGGCAAGTTCGGGCCACGCGATCGCGATCGGATTTTAAACGCGTCCCTGACTTCGTTCGGCCAGCGCAGGATATATGGATGCAAAAACCAAAGTCCCGGGTGAAGCACGAACACACGATAGCGCACGCGATTCGCCTGCGAGCTACTGCACGCCGCGAGCAAATCGCCAGTCGTTAACGAATCGTCGTTTCTGCTGCTTTATTACCCCCTTTCGTTCTCGAAGCATTGCGTTTTGATCGCCGCTCCGATCCGTAGCAACAATTTACCCTTTCCATGCCGGATTATCGATATTGTTTAAAACCTCTCTGCTCCGCAGGCAACGAATTTTGTATTACTTTGCATAACTGGTTTGAAAATTTACTGGTCGCGTGTCGGGATCGACGAACGTATTTTTAAAAATCGACGGGGGGCCAATTGTTTTATTTCGGGTTGAATACACGGTGGATCGATTGTCAAATTCTGCGTAGAATACAGTGGCCAGGGGCTATCGAGAATACGTACTAACGACTTGTACGATTAGATAAACCGTGCGTGACACGTCCCTTTGTGAGTTTGACGTGTCACACGTGTAACACGTGTTGATGTTTGACGTCTCCCGCGACGTACGATTAAACTTCTTCCGCGACAGGTACCGTCGAACGTCACGAAATTGTAATTTGCAACCGAATTTTGAAAAGCTGACAAAATTCCGACGAACTGACGATGTTCACGCGCGTAAGATATGCAGAAAAAAACACGTACGACTCATTCTTGTACGCGAAATGCACGTCCACGGAAGTTAATTATGCAGATATATGCACATATGTGCACTTACCTTGTAGAATTCGAACTATCATTTCGATAAATGTTTTTAAATATTTTACCCAATACACCGACAATTACAATTACGATAGAAAGACGTATAAAATATTTATAAAATTACAAGCTTATCTCCACTTTTTTCGCCCAAAGAGCAGATGTTCGCAGACGATTGCAGACCGATTTCAGGAAGCACTATTACGGTAAAAATTATGTTCGATTGCCTTTGTCGGTTAATAAATAGTGGCATTGAAGTGTGCAATAGTTTGCAAAATATATGCATTATGCAATATATGTAATAGCACATTTCTAATCCTCTAATTATGAAACTCCTATCTGCTTGACTTCATTTTCCTATCTATCGGCCAGGGAAATATTGCGTTTATACGAACATTCGCAGTCTAGTTACGGAAGCTTGAAGCAGACGATCCGTAAGTACTCAAAGTAATGAAACTAACGACTTGCAACATTACACGGATCGTAAAAACGTATCGCGGTTCACAATTACCGTATCCGCCGTGTGTGTTTATCTCTTACATTTCTATTTTTGAAATTACGATCGTTTCACCGAGTAACTCACAACGATGATTGTTTTTTATCTTTTACAGAATGTCGTACAACGTGACCGCCATGTCGCCCTGCGCGCAGCCGTATCTCGGTCCCGGTCTTGGGGGCCTCTGCCCTGGTCCCCAATTTTTGACCTTCATGACCCTTCTGGACACGTTCGTCCGCGCGGAGGATGAAATTTCTCAACTCTGCGAACGAGTCAGACCAGTCAATGAACCAGAAAACGTATACGATTTCATCGTAGTTGGGGGTGAGTATTCTATTTCCGGATATGGGGGTCGAAAATGGGGCCTGAGACTCTGAGACAGGTGTCAATAACTTCCAACAGTTAATCACGTTGGAACACTGAGATCAACTCTCTCCTGGTTGGATCAATCCGATCGAACGAGGGTTAATAAGGGGATTAAGTGTTGCCATCTTTGGTCACACGAATTGGAGAGAAATTCGTAAAGATATAGTGAGAATAAAAATTAAAGATTTCGAAATTCTCGAATTTTTATGACGATCGTTCCCTGGTGTTCGTCGATTTCCAAATGTTATAACAGAGAATCGAGCGTACTATTATCCGAGAATTCCGCTGACCGGAACTATGGAAGTTCCGCCGTATTATATTTTTCCGTTCGAATCCGAGCAACTGTTACCGCGAACGACCATTCCCGTACTTTCGACAGTTCTGACACGCGTGTTCGTGTTATTCGGTAATTTCAATCGAGACACGGTCTGAAATTTTCATACACATCGGCCAAAATAGCGCAACGAAAGCAAATGGCTTTCGCTGAATGATTTACGAGTCTCGGTATCGAAGCTCCGCAAGCTAAATTATTAACGACACTTTCTCGTCGTTCCGATGCAAACGAGCTAATATTATAATAGACTTTAATGGAAGAAGAACTTTCGTTGTGGGGATCGCGAATTATTCAACGATACCCGCGAACATTAATTTAACGGTGCTCGTTAAAAGTGCCGTCGTAACTGGCCGCGTACGAAATCGTTCGAGCATTAATTCGCTGATCAAACCAGAAAAGGTAGTCACAAGCATGCGATTAAAAAATACTATGAGAATTTGTCGCGAAGCACTCGTATAAAAGTAGCCTGGGAAAGCTTCTGGCAGTCACCACCAGAGGGCTACGCTCACCTGCACCTTTCTCGCAAGCACTCGATCGTAAATTCGTGTTCTACAGTATATAATAATGACTGGTCTGCGATCTGAACCGGGAGAATTTGCACACAGAGAATTATATATCATATGCAGATATATTCTATATTAGTCAGAAACGCAACGAAACGCGTGTTATAGGTTTATCATTCGATTATCCGCGGAGAAAACGATTGGAGAATGTTTTCTGCGCGACAATTTAAACGCGTTACTCGCTGGAGCGTTTCGTGTCCGCGCGATTGATTATTTAGTTTACGAATCGCGGGAGAAGTTGGCCAACAGGCCGCGTAAGCCAGACACGCGCGCTGCATCCCGTTCGCGGGCGTTCCTCTATCTCATTTGCATTTAACCGATGTATCCGTAATAATCGCAGTTGACATTATAACTGGGGGGGAAAATCGTGTCTGCGACCGGACGGCGCGTCGATACAATTTTCGCCCGTTAAATGCAACGCCGAACGACGGAAACGCTCCGGCGGTATCGACCATGTCCCCCGGATTTCGATTCACACTCTTCCGTGCGTGTATATACGTGTGTGTGCACTCGATGGCTGTAAAGAAGCAATTGTACGATTCCAGTCTCGGGCGGGGAAGATCGAATCGGAAATAAAATAATTCAAAAACCTCCAAAGGGCGTACACTTTCCTCCTTTTTCGAGCGTTTAAATTCTCGTGCAGCGTTTCGCGAGAATACCAAGCGGGAAGTTCGGAAAATCTTGGAACAACGCGGTGGAGTATTTCGAAAATATGCTGGGGTTTTTATTCGTCGCGGAGTATCTCCCAGAACGATATTGAAAAATAGTTTCGACGAAACTTGGTTTTTTTACGCATTCACGAAGCTGGCCGCGATTCTCGAGAAAAATAAGGGCTCGGGGCACCGGAATTTCTCGATAATTATTTCCTCGATGTTTTACAGGCGCGAACAAGAATAAGAATCGTTAATATTTAGCTTCGATGGACTCCAAGTGTTTCCAAATTATATCGTCTCGATCGAGGACCATCGTCGGAGGTAAATTTTCCGAAAACACACACACACCCTTGCTATTGATTGATCGAACTGGGGCACCGAGTAACGCGTGTGAATTGCAATAAACGCCGGGGCGGTGTAATTTAATTCCGACGGTGTAATTGCAGAGAGATAAATTCACGGGTGGAGATTCACGAAAGAGACTGGATATCAAGAGGGCTCGTTGTCGTCCAAGTTCCTTCTTTGAAGGAGTTAAATAATAAAATTTCCCTTTATCCTTTTAATCTCGGTTGCGATAAAAATAAGGACGATATAATCCGAAGAATTCGAGAATAAGGGTAGAAAAAGGAACCGAGTGTAACGAACATAAACGACGAAGGGTGAGCGGGGATGGGAAACAAATGGCACGCTCTTAGCATTTTCTGAACCGGGCGTAATCAGTAAACTTTGGCGACAAGTTAACTCGTTACGGGGCGAAACAAATGACGACGTTACTCGTCCTGGCCGCTTAACAGGCTAAGGAGGTTGGAAACGGGGCAAGCTTCGCGCCGCGGCTTTAAAAAAAAAGGAAGACTTGTAATTGGATATTTTACGAGGCGGTTCGCTAGACCTGTAAAATCCGCATCGCGGAGCTGGCGGTTCCGACTTGACCGTCGAAATTAATCCTTGGTTTCTCTCGGTTTCGCGGGTGATTAATCCTCACGGAACCGCGAAGGACCATTTTACGCGACGAATGTCACTCGGAACGGAAGTGAATCTCGGTTTTATTATTTTTCAATCATCATTCGTTGGACAAAATTTATTCAGGATCATACAAATTTTAGACTAGTAAACTAACCTTCCTCTGGGGTTTTGTTTAATTAGATTTATCGATATCTGAGGGTAATAAAACATCTTTGACTCTGTTATTTTTCATCCTGTACCAAAAAAAATTGCCACTTGGAAATTTTGAATTTCGAACCAAATGGTGGCCAAATAATTCGTGAAGAAAATTTTTCTCGCGACTGTTTCCGGATGGGTGGAGGCCGCGATAGCGATAGAAGCTCTGTGGAACGAAACGACAGGCATTTTCAGGGTCCGTAAACGGAGTTTACGCGCTCGCGGAGGTCAAACGGAATTATCGCGAATCGGAGCGCGCCAATAGCGCGAGCCTCGATCGTAATTCGTCGATTATCGGGGTCCGAGGCAGCAGACGAAAACGCGACTCGATGGTCCGAGATCGTTCGATGTTTAGACGCGATATTAATACGAACTGTTATTCATTCGGCGTCCGAGCCGTGATTATTGCGTCATTAATTTAATTTCCAGCCCGGGTTTCGTCGTTGTACCACCGCCGAACGTTCCCAGCCGTCCCCCACGGTTGCATTATTACGTACGTTCCGGGACAGATAAATCCTCCAAGGCGATAAAAACCGACGAGGCAGCGCCGCGGTGCCATTTACACGCCAGGAACGTAACGACGAGATCGAATCCACTCCTCGAGGCGAAAATTAACTTTGGATATCGGAAACTGTTGAAAACGATTAACTTTAAATTTAATTTAATCTTTAAAAGTATTCCCAATATACACAAGGTGTCTACCAAAAGGATGGTTCCTCGTGAAACGAAGAGTAAAGTTTCTAATAAGTAGAAACAGCGAGCAACGTACAGACAAATTCTCAAACAATGCACTCTACATTTATGCACTCATTACGTCGAGTAGCGATTGTACCAGAAGTTTCGATAAATTTTAGTGTACCTTGCATAACAACGCAGACAACTTCCGGAGTCCTTAATAGATTTTATTCGAGAACTCGAGTGGTCCGAATAAGCCAACTTTTAATACGCCAAAGTGCCACGCGATTCGTTTTAATCTCCAGATGAACGCAATAATAGACAGCCACTAAACGACGTTCCCGTTGCGAGTAATTGACAGTGTTCGAGATAGGGGCCTCTAATTATCGACTAACTTGTCTCTCGTTGAACGTTATCGTTATATCGCGCACTAAAATTCCAAAGCCCTTGGCCTTATTAACGGAGCACCGCAATATTTTAATGAGGCAAACGCATTAAGAATGCCCTTATTACTCTTTGACGCGTCCTCGTTCGGAGAACTGTTCGTTAGTCGGATCTCTTCATTTTAACAAACTGTAGATCCCTTATCGAGAAAACGCAACCCCGAATTCCTTCGGCCTAATTGCGTCCCGTATGGGTTTTCCAACGCCATAATTACGAATCCACGCGGTCTGACACGACAGAATAATTCTGAAACGTTCATTTCACCTTTTCCCAATTACATTAATCGCTCGATAAACCGGACCGATTAAAAACGAATTACCTCGTTTTGTCTCGGGGCAAGAAAAAATAAAAAATAAAAATAATTCCAACGATCGTTAAACGCTTCTACCATTAATATCGACGCGTGGAAACGACCGTATCCAGAACACAGAACTTTCTTCCGAGCCGATTCGCCTCGGAATGTTTAGGTTTTATTAACCAACCGCGGACGAGGAAAAAGTTTCCGCGACATTTTGCGCCAACGATGGAAAGTACGGGCGACGAGGCGTTTTCGAGCGATCGCGTCCAGACGCGACTCGATCCTTTTCTTTTTATCGATATCGCTGGGCGCTCCTTTCCCGCCGGCGGAGCCATCGTTAACCGGAAGTTGCCGCACACGACGCCGATACTGGGGGATTACATAAATCGCGGGAGAACCGGTTCCTTCCGAAGACAGAGTAATTAAGGCTACGCGGATATTAGCGCAACGTTCGATCGTTAACGAAGAAGCGATCGAATCGCAGCTGCGGCGTGCGCGCGTGGCCGAGCAGACGCGATTAAATAATGAATTTCGTCCCGCGGAACGGTTCACGCCCGACGGAGCCCGTATTTTTGCATAATCTCGCCGAATATTCGCGTCGAGGACGTTGCTTTCCACGACGACACTCGCGATTTTTCGTCGGGATTACTTTCGACGATCTCTCAACAACACGTCGCGATTACGGAGGAACGCCAGAAATATTTACTTTGCGAATTTCAAGAGGCTCGCCGCGCTGCGTTAATTATTGCATTCGGTTGACAAAGCTTTGAATAGATCATTTTTGGAGGAGTGGAATTCTGGAAACAGAGATCTCGTTATCAAAAGTAATCTTGTCGATGGAAATCAATCACACCTCTTTTTAAGTGTTTTCTAAATTCCGTTTCCAATCTTACGAGGCGTAGTCTTTTCGATTTAAGTCGTAGCCCCGCTTCTGGATGGCGTACATTAATCAGTTACTAATTACAGGCAACGACGATACGAGGAAAGTAATGGCCCTATCGGTAATTACGAGTAAACAATCGCGAGGACACTCGCTTCGAGGAAGTCGTTAAGCTATCGATCATATTACCATTGCTGTCCGTTTGTTTCGCGACGAGCGTGTACGATTTAAAATCTGCGTGCCGATCCGATCGGTTGTTTCGTTATGCAAGAAGCGCTTCGTGTTCTTCAAGCTTAGTTCAAACTGAGTGCACTTGCATTGTCCGGAAAATTCAAGAAAATCGTACTCGTCGCGAGATAAATTCGCGTTAATTTTTTTCCTGAATCGAAGTTGCTTTTCGTGCATGTCTGGCAATTCTAGGGTGATTCTGGAAACTAGGACGAGCCAGAGCAGCCCTCCGAGCGGAACAAAAAGTTCATGGAGGAATAAGTTGAATTCCCCACGTGGGACCATCTCTCGACGACATAATTTTTTCGCTTGATGCAATATCCATTCGTTTTTTTTTTGTAACCACAGCTGGTACTACGACGTTATAATACATGATATTGCAAAAACTACAAATTTTACCCACTAAACGATTATTCGAATCACGAGAGGCCACAAAGTGTACACTGTTTCATGAATATGATTATTTTGAGAAGCCTTACGCAAGGGACTGTAGTGAAAAATAATAGGTTAGATATACGTATGCGTCGAGTATATGTGAATACATTAATTCCTAGGATTTCCAGCCTCGGATATTGGGACATCGCAGATTTTCTAGATTTCACCGTAGTTTATCTCGACATCTGCATGACTTAGCCTAGCAACAGCAAAACCCTCGTTAAAGTTTATTAACACGTTCGCTGCCACCTGTCACACATAATGACACAACGATTCTGGCGAAAGACCGACGTAACCCATACCTGACAGCGGAGATTTTTTTTATTTGTACTTCTGTGCAAACACGTTATCTGTTATATTCAGAGTACTCGATCGACTTTTATCGGATTACATTTACACACTCTGATCAAACGTGGAACCTTTTCATTGTTTTATAAACGTCGCGTAATTGCAAATTCTGCTCTAAAGATTCGCTTGGAAATTGATACTGGAGAAACACACACTCCGGGGATCTATCCGGCGTGTTCGCCGTCGTCGCCTCGACTCACGAGGTACAAGATCTATGGTGGAGTGGTGGGTGATCCAGACCACAGGTTCGACTGCGAGCTCCTCTCGGATTGGGCGAGAAACGCGTCGATATAATTGGCCCCAATTTACTCTCGAATCGCTGGGCACGCGGGTATCACTAAATTTGAATTAATATCAGATCCACGAAATGGGTAATTTACGTAAAGTAACAAACTATTCCAAGGAAATATAGTTACATATATTCGTACACACTATTATACTGGTGATTCACTGTATTCGAAGAGAAACTTATTTATTTCTAAATATTGTTTTTATTGCAACTGGTTGTTACTTCTATTTGTTAATTAGTTTTTTCCCCCGTTAAACATTAATTGCCTAACCGCAAACCTGATGGAAAGCTTTGATAATAAAATAAGTAAAGGTATTTATATTATGTACTAAATATGTTTGTTTTCCACGAGCGGTAACCCATCCTTCCTGTGTACTGCACGCGACCCGATGCAGCTGCACTTCGATGATCGCACGAAAGCCAACACTTCCAACGTGCCACGATCGTCACACAAGTATTTATTTAAACATAAACTCTTAAATATTATAATGTACAAGGTGCTGTATGAAAAAGAATTTGGAAAAGTAATACTGGGATAGATCTTGCGACGGTATTTTCGAAGAAAGGCGCAGCGGCTATGAAGATCGGATCGACGATCGGAATAAGCGACGAACGGGACGCTTTATGCTGGGATAAACTCCCGGGGAGCCGCGGGCGGAACAACGTAAATAACGTAGCGCCGTTAGGTCGTCGCGGCGTCGACGGAACGGAAACGGTGCACGTCGGACGTGCATCGAAATATGTTCCCCCGCGAATATAACGCCGGGCCCGCGCGGCGCGATATAAAATCGACGTGAAACGACGGGAAAATCGTGGAAAACGAAGGATAACGCGTGCACGATCCTAGGTACGGTCCGCGGTTACGCAATCGCCGTTGACCGTGTTTCTCGACCGAGCAGAACCGTTTTCACTCGCTCCCGTTTCCGGAAAATGACACGCAGAGCGCGAGAAAAACGCCTCTCGCGTGCCAACGAGAGGGAACTTCTTTTCGCGAGGCCGACTGTCACCGCTGACGAAAGAGGGGATTCGCGCCACGGTTCGCTGATTCGACTCGCGGAGCTCTGAAAAACTACGGAATTTCTGCCACAGAATTATCCTAATCGCCCGGGGAGGGGAATTGCATTTTGTATCTTTTAAATCTGGAGGACGTCGATTAGAAATCTTGACGATATCGTAGCCTCCGGAATTGACATTCTTTTTTCTTTGACAGGACCTTTTAATGCTTTGGTTAGTGGAGGTGTTTCTACTTTTCGGAATTACTGACTTTGACACGTTCTAGTCGATGTGCTCAACCGGTGGTACACCATGTGTTCGATACCCCGGTGACCATCTCTGTGAATTCAATTAATTCTCCGATAGCTTCAGATTTCCAATTACCAGCAACCACCTGTTTATTTACAACCTTAAATTGTAGTGGTAATTGTCTCAAAGCAACTGCGTTTTAATTTTTAAATGGGCCCAATGTTAATTAGTTGGCTAAATTCCACGTTATCGGTTTTCTACGAATCATTATGACGTAAAACCATTTGCCAAAGTGCCAATATATGTAATCGGTCGAGAATTATGGGCATTCATGGCTCCCTAAGTTCTCACGATAAGAACAGCGACAATAAGTCATATGACACGAAAGACTCTCACAAGATTAGTGTATCGTTGCGTAATACGGATTGCATTAACGTTTCTTTGGGTTTGCACTATTTTTAAACCAGCCACGAGCAGGTTTCTGGTTACCTAGGTTCACCAATAACTTAGGTGAAACAGTCCAGCCTTGGCGCTCTCGCCGGCCGACTGACGCAACGAGCCTAAGTCCAGGTGCGGCGACCAACGGGGAATTTATGAGCCACTGTCCTCGAAAACTAAGGGATTCATGCGTGGCCTGAGTCCACGTACACTCATAGAATAAGCCGTCCACGATTCTAAGCGTTCGCGAATGCAATATTTCTTGTCGTACTCGGGAGGACCATGCTCCATACGAAACGTTAACGGGTTAACTAAAACACGTTTGTCTTGCCTCTGCTACAATGTTTCTAAACCACCAACGTTTCGGACGTACTTGGCTCAACACCCGTGTCTAACATTTATTCGTATAAAAAAGGTGGAACGCGATCTCTCTTATGCAGATACCAAATGCAGGCAACTGTTGAAAAAGTATTGCTTCGAACATACTTGGAATCCTTATCGCTTCCACGAACAATTCCACGCACTTCGATAACGTTGTTTTGCTTATGTAGAACAACTTCGACCATGTACGTAATTGATGAACGAGTCTTGTCGTTAGTTTAGGGAATAATCGCGAGTTAATCTTGACGAGATTGACGACTGAACGATTAATGACCGTGAAAGGAAGACTGATTTACATTTTAAGTGAATAGAACTTGTTTTATTCGTATTGGAAACGCGAAACGGTATTCCGCTACCTGTTTTCTTAAAATGCAATCATGAGATTTTTCTACACCAATCTGTTAATTTAGATTCCTTGACTGGAACTCGTGTGAAACTTCTCTACATAGCGAAACGGGTTAGTGCAGCTCGACGAAATGTACGAACTGCCATAATCAGTTTTACGGTACACGATGGCCAAGACCTTACAAAGTCGTTTTCTAGTCTGATGAGCATTTCTTTGCGACTGGTGCGCCGCGACCAACATGGTGCTCGTTAGGGTCCACTGGACACATGTTCCAACAACGCGGAACGAGCTCACTGTTGCTTAGAAGCACAGCTAAACACATTTTATTCCCCGACTACCTTCCACGTTCGATCGTAAATTAACTTCCGTTTGCGTTTCGTTCTTAGATTACAATCCCATCGATTTTACTACGAATTTTAGAAACTAAAAGACCCCTGATTGGGTTCCGCGTGTATCGATTATCTATAGGCTACATAATAATTAACGCACAATAAATAATAATCAGTTCACTCTAAATTATTGCCAGTAAATGATTATCTATAAATCAATTATCGATAAAACATATAACAGTACATGATAAATAGTTTTAATATTAATTGGTTCGTTATTATCAGTTTCATAATTAATACGAGTATCAAACCGAAAGTTTGGAGTAAATTTTATACACCGAACAACGAATGAAAATTTCAAATTGTAATAATTGCAGCTTAGCGTAAGCTATGGACGAGCACCAAATTATGAACGAAGCTTAACGAAATTGATTCGCGAATAAAAATGTCTCGAAAAGGTTTCTAACTTGTACTTTTCTCGCAGGTGGAACTGCAGGTTCCGTGGTGGCGTCCAGGCTCAGTGACCTACCGCAATGGAAAGTTCTGCTGCTCGAAGCCGGCCCCGACGAGCCCCCAGGTGCAGATATTCCGAGCATGGTGGGAATGTTCCTGGGTACGTATTTTCGAAGATGAACTTAAACGGAGCGAGCACGATCGACCGTAAGAAACGTCGCGCGGAAGAAAAGTGAAGGGGAACTGAAACGTAACGCGAAACTATGAATGGAACCGCCGCGACGTTTCCCTACCCAGATCGTGGATCGTCGATAAATCGTTGATCAATTTGCCTCGAACAGGCACCGTGCTCGACTGGCAATACAAAACCGTGAACGAACGTTACGCCTGCCAATCCACCGGAGGATCCTGCACGTGGCCGCGAGGCAAGGTCCTTGGAGGAACGTCCGTGCACAATGGCATGATGTACATGCGTGGACACCCCAAAGACTATAACGACTGGGCGGCTGAGGGCAACGTGGGGTGGTCATGGGAAGAGGTAATCAGGAAACCATCGAAAATGTTCAAATTGGCGTTGAAAAGTTCGAGTTTGAGTCTACCAGTTGATTCAACTTTTTCCCCCAATTTAACATACGTGCACTTTCGTTTTCCACGTTGTCACTTCAACGAATATCAATAAAAATGATTCTATCTACGCGAGCAATCGTGCAAACCGCGTCAAACTTCGTTTGAAGCATAGATCTCGCTCTGTCCCGGTACCAGCGCGAGTTCCAGTTGCGAAAATCTCTGAACGAGACCGATTTGCCAATCCGTCGGTCTGATTCATTTACTTTTTGTCCCGCGCGACGCAGGTTTTGCCGTATTTCAAGTGCTCGGAGAACAACACGGAGATCAATCGGGTGGGTCGCAAGTTTCACTCGACCAACGGGTTGCTCAACGTCGGGAGGTTCCCCTGGAGGCCCGCGATCTACAGCGATGTGCTAGCGGCGGCCCGTGAGAACGGATTTCCGATCTCGGAGGACCTCAACGGCGAGCAGTTCGTCGGGTTCACGGTCGCGCAAATGATGCAGAAGAACGGCGTCAGACAGAGCGCGTCCACCGCTTTTCTGCGACCTGTTCGATACAGGAAGAACCTACAGATCGCTGTGAACACCACCGCCACCAAGATCATCGTCGAGAACAACAAAGCAGTGGGCGTCGAATACTACCACGTTAGTATAAATCGCTCTCGATGGTACTCGATGTTAGGTAACAGTGCGACATTCAACCCTTAAGCGAATTATTGGGTTAGCTTAATATATGTAATCCTCCTTTGGTTCATTATCTTTTATATGCTTTAAAGGAAAGTTAATTCACATTTACCAGTTGAGATTGAGAGTCTACCTAAGGGGTGAATATCGCGTCAAATGCAATCTTTCGAAACAATAACAACGCGATCTTGACACAAGTTTTACGACGATTCGCTAATTACCAGAGCGGTTTGACCGTGTACCAAGGTTTTGCAAACGATGCTCCCTAATATTCCGAAAGTTCGACCTCGAGATAGGAATATTCACATGTTTCCAGCACGGTGTGCGTCGAGTTGCACGAGCTGCACGCGAGGTAATCGTCTCCGGCGGGACCGTCAACTCTCCCCAGCTGTTGCTGCTCTCCGGAATTGGACCCAAAGAGCAGCTGGAGGCCGTGAACGTCAGCGTCGTTAAAGATCTTCCCGGTAAGCGAAACGACGACGACGTTCGTTCGAACCTGGGATTCATTTGCCTGCGTACACAGGTGTCGGAGAGAATGTACAGAATCACGTGTCGTACACTCTGTCCTGGACCATCGACGAGCCCAACGTCTACGATCTCACTTGGGCGGCTGCTCTGGAGTACGTAGCCTTCCAGAAAGGACCCATGGCGTCCACCGGGCTCTCCCAATTGACTGGGATCATCCCCTCGGTGTACGCCACCCCCGATCACCCGGATCTGCAGTTCTTCTTCGCGGGATATCAAGCCGCCTGCAGTGTTACGGGCGAGCTGGGGGCTCTCATGAGCGACGGACGTAGGAGCATCAGCATAACACCCACGAACGTTCACCCGCGCAGCAGAGGTATATTAGAATGTGAAAACAATACTGTACAATTCATATTTCTTTTCACACTCCTGTCATTGGCTTTCACCAAACATTCGACTGGAAAACGACTACGTGTCACTAAGGAACCAGTTCGACGTTGTTAGCCTACTGTGTGTACCCGAGAAGTTGGCGAGTGAAAGGAACGTGGGTCTGATTGGTTCCCCTACTCTAGGAGCCCAATGACGATGCAAAAGTGGAAGAAGGAATCCTCCCACTAGCCAACTTCTCGCGAATGCATAGCGTTTCCTGACCACTCGCTAATCCAAAAATTATGAGCCCCATTTGCTGTCGCGTTAGGAACCCTCCGTTTGGCCAGCAACGATCCCTTCGCCAAGCCCATAATCCACGGGAACTACTTGTCCGATCCCATGGACGTGGCCGTCCTGGTGGACGGTATTCGCAAAGCTCTGTCGTTCGCAAACACCACCGCCATGTCGAAGTACAACATGACGTTTGGCGATACACCCCTGGCGGCCTGTTCCCAATACCCGTTCATGAGCAACGACTATTGGAGCTGCGCCGTTCGCCAGAACACCGGTCCGGAGAACCATCAGGCTGGCTCCTGCAAAATGGGTCCGTCCAGCGATCCCATGGCCGTGGTGGATCCCCGACTCAACGTTCACGGCATCAAGGGGCTACGCGTCGCCGACATGTCCATCGCTCCTACGGTATTTTTCTCTCTCACGTCGCTCTCGACGATACGCAAAGCCTAATTTCGATTCGTTCGCGTAGGTGATGTCCAGCAACACGGCCAGCCCGGCGATAATGATCGGCGAGAGGGCCGCAGCCTTCATCAAAGAGGACTGGGGTGTCGGCGAAACACAATGGTACGGGAGTCGACGCTATAAACCCACGTGGAAAGCCCCAGCCCCAAGGAAAGGCTATTATAGTCACTAGAAATTTGCCATGTTTCGTAGTTCCCGTTTTACGATCGACAACTCGCTGGATCTATTGCTCTGGGGGATCAAGTACATCGACTGGGACCAGGGCGTCTGGTAGCCAAGATCCTCGAACGATCTAGTCCGCGATTCAGCCGAGTCTCAGCGTCGCCAAAGAGACGAGTTTCCTTCCTCCACTCGATCGAGAGTCGATCGGAAAGCGGAACAGAAATCCAACGCAACGCTAACGGATTTACCTTTAACAACTGTTACCAATATTATTATTATCATTATTATTAATTATTTCGACTTCCTCCGATTTCTGCTCTCGTTGTTTGTTTTGTTTTTATTCTCTTTTTCTCTCTCGTGGCACGACTTCGAGGATTCATCGGGCCGATCGATCCCCCGCGTCGATCGGGGGCCCGAAACTTTGTATGCCATTTCGTGTGATGTTTTTGTCTTTTCTAAGTAAATAAAGAATAAGTTGCCTCGATGAACGAGCGACCTCATACGACAGTTTACGAATTATTCGAAACGCTTTAATATTAATCTCGCCGAACGCGAACGTTCGTTACCACGGGTTGCTGAATTATCAATGAAAATACGTGATTATTATTAATTCCTACACGCGCGTTCTCGAGAACTCGTCGTATCGCTCGTTCCGCGCATCGAGCAGAGCTTTTGCGAATAAAACTGTGGAGATAGAATATTATTTACTCTTTATGACGGTGTTTAACGCTGCTTAGTCCCACGTAACACGCTCGACGAAAACACTGTAACGACAACCCAGAACTTTTACCGTGAAACCTTTCATTGGCTATCCGGTTGCACCAAAATCGAAATTCCAAGCGTTTTCTCCAAGCGAGAACCAAAGAACCACTCAGTGGTGTCACTTATTTTCCCTTTTAACTCTTAAGTGGGTTATTGGGCAAATTTAAAATAATGTATCGATATAATTATTTGAAAATTTATGTAACCATTATTTTTGAATGCTTCGAAGGAAAGTTGATTTCCATTTACCAATTCGATAAGAATCAACATAAAGCGTAACAACTCAGTCGAGATTGAGAGTCCACTTAAGGGTTAAAGATCGACGAGAAGACGAAACGAAATTTCAATTCGTTTGAGAATTGCTAAAAAACTATTTTGCACTGTACTCGTCGTGCACGTTCCACGCCGCCGTCCCTTGATGTAAGCTAATGCAGCGCGAATGTAAATCAAAATGTTGTAAATAAATAGTGAGAAACTGTACGCGAGACCGTGAACGTCGTAACCTGTCCAGCGTTTTGAACGCACTCACACCGTCCGTGTTGCTTTCCGCGATACGCGATCCGTCAACACAACGAAACGTTAGATAGCGCGGACAGCACTTAGCATTCACGATCGCGTTATCGATAGTACGCGTGCGTTGTAGAAAAAAACAAAAATACATTGTTATCGTCGCACATACATTGTTTTTTTCGAAGAATACCGAGGTATAAAAGAGGATGGCGGTCAAAGTTTGGCAACCAGTCAAAAAGCTTGCACCGAGTCTCCGAACATGGTACGTCTACGAAATTTTCTCCACCGAAACTGCACTTTTTTACCATAGTCGGCGTGACGCGCGCTAATTTAAAATTCGATCAGGATGGGTTACAGGATATCATCTTCGAGGAGTTGCCGTTGTGTCGCAATCCCTTCACGGGAGGTCCGCAGCTGACGGATGTTTGCGTCGCGAATTCAACCCTGACGTTCCTGACGTTGTTCAACTCCCTTGTAGTTAACAACACGAAGATCAACGATCCCTGCGGCCGCGTGAAACCGATCAAGGCACCGAAAAAGGAGTATGACTTCATCGTCGTGGGAGGTAAGTTCTAACGCGATCGACCAGGTCCGGTGTTAAACGTTCGAGTTCTACGACAGCTGGAGCTGCTGGCCCCGTGGTAGCCGCCAGACTGTCCGAGATCAACGATTGGAATGTTCTCCTATGCGAAGCAGGCCCCGACGAGCCCGCAGGAGCTGAAATACCCAGCAATCTTCAGCTCTATCTCGGTAATTAACGCTCCCCGTACGCGGGGACAGCGAGTCGTCGGGACGTTATCGCGTTTCGTTTCGCAGGCGGCGAATTGGACTGGAAATACCACACCACCAACGAGTCCTTCGCTTGCAGGAGCACGAACGGCAGCTGCAATTGGCCGCGAGGCAGGAACTTCGGAGGAAACACGGCGCACCATGGAATGGCCTACCATAGGGGTCATCCAAAGGATTTCCAGTACTGGGTCGAGCAGGGCAACGAAGGATGGTCCTGGGAAAAGGTAATCCAGCGCGAAATCGGGATCTCGTGACGCGTGTGCGAAACTTGTACGTGTTTTTCTAGGTTCTGAAGTACTACAAGAAGTCGGAGAACAACACGGAAATCGGCAGAGTCAGCGCCGAGGACCACAGCACCGGTGGACCCATGACTGTCCAGAGGTTCGTTGTTATTTTCCCTCGGACGATACCGGTGGATGAAACGCGTTGTTTATCACAGATTCCCCTGGCACCCAAATTTCACCCAGTTCATCATGGATGCGGCGGTGGAGACAGGTTTCGGGCTCACCGAGGACATGGTCGGCAAAAATCTCACTGGCTTCACGATCGCTCAGACCGTGAGCAGAGACGGCGTTAGGCTCAGCGTGCCCGCTGCGTTCATCAGACCGATCGCTCATCGCAAGAATCTCCACGTATGCTTGAACTGCATGGTCACCAAGGTCCTGACCGAGAACAAGACGGCCACTGGCATCGAATTGGTCATGGTTCGTGTCATCGAAGGGTGGCAAATGGCTTTCTAGCGACTGATTCGAGCATTTTTCTGCGTAGAACGGAAAGGAGTACACCGTGAAAGCGAAAAAGGAGGTGATCGTCTCCGCTGGCTCGATAAACTCGCCTCAGCTGTTGCTTCTGTCGGGAATCGGACCCAAGGAACACTTGGAATCCGTCAAGGTACCTGTCGTGCACGATCTACCGGGCGTCGGAGAGAACCTTCACAATCACCAGTCCTTCGGAATAGACTTCACCGTGGACGAGGCGTACAGGTCGCTGCTCAACGTGGACACAGTGGCCATGTATTTGTACAATCAAACTGGACCGCTGTCGGGCACAGGATTGGCCCAGGTGACCGGTGTCCTGGCGTCAGAGTACACGACCGAAGACGACCCCGACACCCAGATCTTCTTCGCCGGGTACCAGGCCATATGCACGCCCAAAGAAACGGTCGTCGATTTGGGCAACTTCGGCGACAAGATGTCCGTCAGGTTCTCGTCCGTCAACTTGCAACCCAGCAGCAGAGGCGAGTACTCGTTCAACCCTTAACCCTTTGCCACAGAATCACGAGTCTGACTCGTTGCTAGTTCTCGATGCCAAGTTTTACTATCACGAAGCTATCGTTAGGCTATCCAAGGCTAGCAACTTCTATATTTTCTAAATTTTTTTAGTATCTGAGAGCCCTGACGTTCGAGATCGTTTGTCGTAGGTCGCATCACGCTGAAGGACAACAATCCGTTCAACCATCCGATTATCTGGAGCAACGACATAGGCACCGAGAGGGACCTGAATATAATATACTTCGGATTGAAGAGCATCTTCAAACTGGCTAACACCACGGCGATGAAGGAGATCGGTTTGACGACAGTGCACAAAATTATACCGGAGTGCAGCGAGCACGGCGAGGACACCGAAGACTATTGGAAGTGCGCCATTCGTTGGGACACAAGACCGGAAAACCACCAGAGCGGATCCTGCAAGATGGGTCCATCTTTGGATCCGATGGCGGTGGTCGATTCGACATTGAAGGTGCACGGAATTAATGGACTCAGAGTGGCCGACGCCTCCATCATGCCCAGGGTACGATTCTATCGTTTGTCTACCGATTACAGAGGCACAGAGAACGTTTGTTCATTTGGTTTTTCGTTTGTTCGACAGGTGGTGTCGGGTAATCCGGTCGCGGCGATCACTATGATCGGCGAAAGAGCGGCGGACTTCATCAAGGAGGACTGGGGAGTACTGTCGTGAGAGGAACGAAATAACGACGATGTGGATACGAAGATACATATATCATTGAGAAATGTATTGTAACGGCTCGAATTTGAGAAACTGACGTCCAAATATTTCTGAATAAATTATTATACGATTTCTGCTCGAACACGACTTTTTATCGCAGCCCCTTTCCACTCGTTAATCGATCTATGTCGCCGTGAAGCAGGTTTCTGTAAGCTCGTAAAAAACACGCAGGATCTAGTTGCTTTAATATTAAACTTATTGCGTTCATTTACTCGTACATGAAAATTCTAGTCGCTCAGCCATTGCACGTTTGTTCAGTTATTCGTACAGCTGCGCGCACACGTTTCGCCAAGTAATTAAAAAACAAGCGTATTAACGCGAAACGTTAAATTGCTATAACACAGAAGGCATTAGTATAACTAGTTTTTTAACATACTTATTTTTTGTACGAAATTAATAAGCATTTATCGAATACATTGCGAAACAATAGGAACAAAGCCTCGAATACGAAATAAAAAGAAAGTTATTTCTTCGTCCTAAAATGAATTTATAATTTTATAAGATTTCTTATTATGTACCATTCCGAAAATAAAACCGCTTCCTTCGACGAGCGAATATTGACTCAAGCAGTTATTAAAACGAAAGCCTGAATAATTAATATTCATTTTCATTTACCTTATATCTCGCAGCTAATTTCGTACACTAACTCTAATTGCTGAATCGGTCAAGCATACAGTCACGTTTAAAGATAAGTTTGCTGTCTCAGCCTTATCGAGTCCGCCAACGTAAACCGAACGGAACGTTTCGAATCTGGAACGAATAATTTTAACGAACGCCAAATTAAACATATCGTGATACGAGAATATACTCTTAATAAAATTCACAATAGATCGCAAGATAATTAATTATATTCATCGTTTGATCCTTTTGCTGGAAACGTTGAAAATGTCACGATTAGACGATAGTGGATTCGATAGGACAGTTGCCATTAAACCAATCCTATTACGATAATTTTGTGGTTTCTGTTGAACAATTTGACAACTAACATATTTAAAACAATTGCAACTGACAAAGAATGAGTTATCGATATCTAAAATACTGCCATTAATTCTTATCGAAGACCTTGCTTTGCACGTAGAATGCACATTTGAAAATTTGCATCAAGGTCCTTATTTTAGGATGAATATATTTTAGTGCTTTTACATTCAAAATTCAAGCTATAAAGAACTGGTAATTCTATTCGAGGGAATGGAGGCTGACCTTCTTGCGCTATAAATACCGTTATAAGATTATGTCGCCTTTGGAGCAAAGTCCTGACGGAGACATTTTCGTCTATCGGTAAAAGTTAATCCAGTTACGTAGGTGGGCTATCTCGAGTGGCTCACCCTGTATAACAATGGCAGGTATAGCCATCTAACCGTTAGCGTGCCACGACCCGATGCGCACCGATGCAGCGTTAACTTGGGATGTGATGGGAATGGGTTAACGGATTAATATTCTATCGCATCCATCAGCACGGCAGCGCCTAATTAATTAGATACTCGCCACCTTCTCCTGATTTCCATCCAATCGTAGTAACTCGAGTGTTCCCGACGTTCCATCGACAAGGAGACAAACAGTAAAATAATAAATCCACGAGACCCAGCGGTGGCCAAAAATACGAAAAGGCTCGGATAAAAAATCGTTTCCAATTATTGCGTCGGCATTTCAAAGAGTCAGAAAAGTTTTCTTTGGCAAAAAGAGAGTACACGAGAGGGTTAACCATATTTTCCACTTCGCTACGAAAGCCCCAGTTCCTTTGCGGAGCTCCAACGTCGAAATTTAATAATCCCTCCACGCTCGAAACGCTTCATTTCTCCCCCCACCCTAGCCTCGACTGCGTCTCCATATCGAACTAATTGAAAAATTGTCGTACGTATCTTCCCGTTCGCAGGGAGATCCGATACGTTGAATCGTCCCCGACAAACCGTTTGGAAGTTTCGTCAGAATTCGAAAGGCAGCTCGAAGAAGCGTTCGAATTCGCGTGGAACGACCCCCGAGCACGTCCGAATGTCTTGAGTAATTTCGTAAACGGAGTTGACCGATCCCCGTGGAAGTTTATATAAAGCGAGAAGACGCTCCCCGACGACGAGGGCGTTCTTCTCGTCAAACATTGAAACTTCGAGACTTTAAGCCCCCATGAGAGATTTCGCTAGAATCTCAAACTTCCAGCCCTCCCCCCCCCAACCCCTCCATCCCGCGTCGTTCGAAAACGAATATTTACCCAACGACAAAGAGGGACGCGAGTTTTCGGAAAGGTCGAGGAGGGTTCGCGACCCGTCCGACCGGGGAAAACTAATTTCGTTGACTCTTTTCGAAGCGCAATAAAGCGCAATAACGCGGTTTAATTAAAATTAATAACGAGCCCGCGGATGCGTCCGAGATTGAAGAATGCCAGCTCGCGGGATATTGTCTGGGCAAGGATTATCAAGATAAACACGGCCAAGGAAAAGGAGAAACGGTCCCGGGGTCGACGGAACGAGCCAGCGCCAGCCTCCAGGCCGGAGGGTAGCTAGAAAACCGTGGAGAGGGTGCACTTGACCTCCTTGGAGTCTGCCGGCGCACACGCTCGCACGCCTCGAACACCGATTTCGCGACCCTTCGCCTGACCTCACCGGCTATTCAACCGTCTAAACTTTTACGCGGCCAGATACCAACGTCTTCGAGGGTGCATTAGACGTTCGACTGTTCCCGCGATACTAGACAACAGCGAAAAGTCCCTAAACCTTCCTTTGCACCCTCTCAACTTCCGCGCCAAATCGAAATATGCTATTCTGGTGGAAAGATCGCGATTTTATTGGTTTCTAAATTGCTTATAGCTTATCTTAAAAGTTATACACCCCACTCGTATTCCGTACACTGCAATGACGAAACCTGATGTTCCTTTTTGCCATTTATTATAAACAAAATATAGAAAAACCCGCGACCAATGCAGCTGCACTTTAACAATCACGCAAGAGCCAGGCATCTCCAACGTGCCACGACTTTTCACAAATTTTTTTTAAATTTTATTAATATACAAACGTTAAATAGTGCAGGAATACGAGTGGGAGCCATGCAACGTAATTATAATTTTCTGAAAATTCCAAGGAAATTACTTCATCCTGCCATCGGATAAAGGTCGTTTCGTTAAATTTAGAAACGTGCTTTGCATTTTGGCAATACGATCGTGTCCTAGCAGAGTAACGAATTTATTATGCAAAGCGGGCCGGGGAAAATTTTATTTCGCGCGTGTGAAACGAGAAACAAAATTAAACCGAAGTTTGAAATATTAAAGCGGGCTCGTTATTTTCTTCTTTAAAGATAGAATCCGCGGGTTTCGAGGGACTCGCGAACCGGAAGAATAACGATACCTCCGAAACTCCTGACGCCCGCGACGGCGGTGCAATGATCCGCGCAGAAAAATCTGCGTCTTTCGTCGCGAGGAATCCCTTTGACTGAAAATTCTCGCTGTCGCGGGGAACGATAACGTCGACCCTCGAGCGGTGAAAAATATCCTTGTCGATAAGGAGCAGAAAAAAGGAAACGGGTCGCGTTTGGAAAGCGTGGAAGTCGATCGCCAGGTTAATTTATTTTAGTTGCATGCATCCAGGGCAACGAGCAAGTCCTTGATACCTGCCAGCCGGCTCGGTGAACCGGATGCTTTTACATTCACTCGGAAAATGGCGGCTGGTCTTGTACCCAACGCTCCCGGAATATCGCCTACCTGCGCCTCGTCGTTTACCAAGGTAATTCCAATGTCACCGCGGCTGTTCGACGGCCGTATCGTTGTATCGGTATTTGTTGCGAAACTATTCCCAAGATCCTAATCGTCGCGCGCGTTCACCGAGAGAATACCACTCATCGCTGCATCCGCCGACATTACGTACGCGCTGATTCCGCGTAATTGAAATCACTCGCGCAATTTCGCGCGCCCGTTCGATTTATCGAGGCGCGAGATCGAACGCCAAACTGTTCGCGACGCGACAGGAGCGATCCAATCCCGGGGAACACATTTTTCTTCCGCGTCCCTTTTCTCCGAATTTTCCATAACTGTGGAAAAGAATCTCCTTTCGAAGGAACCGAAACATTCATGAGGGGAGACGTGCGGGATCGCAGGGGACCGCGTTTTCACGACACAATTATTTTTCACGGTGAATACACGGTATTCGGAGGTCGTAGGTCGCCGATCACCCATAAACTCGACACAGGGGGCGAAGGGATCAGCCATATACTCCGTTTAATCCCCTCTAGAAATCCCCACCTTTAGATTATCAGCGATTACACTGGCTCGATGTTTCTTCCTCGCCACGCGATATATGTAATCGACTTAACCAATGACGATCCGTGTCACTGGAGCCACGGTTGATTCGATTTGTTGGCAACATACGATCTTTGAACAGTACAAGATGAATTATTTTTATATCGAATTTTATATTACCATTCGCGAGCAAAGATCTCGATTAAACTTTTGCAGTATTTTACTTATTAAGAAGTAAGATATATATCTTAATTGGATATTCCATGACTTTAGAAAGGTACTGTCAGAGAATGATTTATTAAATGTAATCCAAAGAGTACGCCATTCCCAGGACTCTCATTGCTCAAGCTAATACTCGGTTAACAGATATCAGTCGTACTATTGTAGAAGAAAGTAGGAAGCGATTATTAATAGTTCGCGTTGCATAAAATCAGCTATTCCTATTAATAAATGGACCTTCACGAAATTCTCGTTTTATTATTCTAGATCATCGAAACGAGCCTCTGAATATTAACGAACACGATAAATATTATCGTAACACGAGAGGTATTTATAATAATACTCGTTCGAGGAATCTAATCGTAGACACTAAACCACGGTTCTGAAATAGGAAATCCAACATTAACGATGTAAAAAATATGCGTTGAATATAAACTGAATACATTGACATTTGACTATTTCTCTCGTAGGAATCACCAGACGATCAGGTCAAATATTTTCGAACGGTGAGCGCGCTATGCGCAGTATTTTTAAGGGTATCGCTTTAATTTCGAGCGCGCAACGTGCTCGCGATGCGTTTCTGGTCACTTCGTGAAATTATTTCGCTCGGGATCGCGGCTATCCGGTACTTGTTTTGCGAACGT